CTTTTCTCAAAACCTTTTAAAGATTGCTTATTTCCCAAACTGAATGTAAGTCTAGATTTCTCACTGCAGCATAAAAAACTTTCTAGAATTCAGCTCCTGATTACATCGCCAACTTAATCTCTCACCAGCTGCTACCTTCCCACCCATGCACATGATTTCTGCCAAACTGAAGTTCTCAGAATTTTTTGACAGTGCTGTACAGTTTCACACATCCCTTCATTTGAACATGATCTGTTCCATCTGCCTGCCTTTCTTCACTTTTTTAAAATTGACTCTTGCTTAATCTTTATTCAGCAGACATTTATTGAGCATTTGCTATGTGCAAAGCACCTGGAATGAGACTATGTCAGAACTTCTGGATGTGCTTTCTATAGCACATCTTTCTGCTTAGTACTAGACTGGCAGTCTCGGAGCTCAGTGTGGCTCCTGAAGAGAATTAATCATAAAGACAAGGTCCGGAGTAGCTGCATTGGAAAAGGCAAGCCAGAGCAGGAACTGGTGGCTGGAGTTGGCCAAAAAAGGGAGGGATAAAAAGAACTGATAAAGAACGAAGTTGATAGCTTAATATATTAGGGAATAATTTTCAAAATAATTTCAGAGTGAAGCTTTTGTGTTTTTTTTTGGATAAAAGATTTCATAACAGTTGTATTATGTTATATATGATTTGTCATCCTTTTTGAGAATAAAACATGAAAGATCAAGACCTACATTTTTATGATTATTTAAAAAATCAAGTTAATATAAACTTAAAATCTTTAACAACTAAGTTACTGTGAAAGATTAACCTGTTTATATCACTACAGGATTCTTTGAAATGAGTATCTTACACTAATTTACAACTTATTTTCTAGAATGATGGTTTTAAAAAAAAAACTATGGAGATTTCAAGTATATACAGAGGGAGAAAGAATAGTATAATGACCTCTGTGTGCTCATCACTAACTTCAACATATGGCTGGTCTTGTTTTATGCTCTTTACCCTCTTCCTCTCCCTCCCCCATTCCGAATGTAATCCTAGACTTTTTATCTCTTTTTATCTATATGATTTTATCCATAAATACTTAAATACATAAGATTTCCTTTTAATTGGACAAAAATATTTTTATTTTTAAATTGATTAATCATCTGGGTTAATGAGTTTAAATGATCTGAAGTAAAAACATTTAAATGTTTTAATATTAGCATTCACACTTTATTTCTTCAGTTATTGATTAAAAGTAAGGAAAGAGCAGTACATGAAAATTGCATGTCAAATAGTTCCTGTTGCTTTGTCTGCTTTTGCAATTCATGCACCCAGATATACTTTTCTGTTTTTAGTAGCTTATTATTCAATTTCAAGAAGTTACAATACTTGAAGTAACCTCTCCAGTTTTATTTAACAAACATCTATTGAATATATGCAGTATGCTTCGGATTGTGCTAATTGCTGGGAAAACAGAGATGAGGTATTTCTCAGTTGTCTTGTAAGTATGTGTGAAAATCAAATACATTCACACCAAACATTGATGTTTTTGCCTTTATAATATTAAGCATTAGGAGTTTGCAGTGTCAATTAAATTTTTGGAAAAATAGTATTTTAAAACCTTACTGGAGAGATTCAAGATGGTAAGAGCATGAGCTTTAGAGTCTTAAAGATACTAATTTCATTTCTAATTTGATTACTTACTGGTTTTGGGGAAATTTACCTAACTCTTCATGCTTCAATTTCTTCATCTGTTAAAACTTATTTTGTAAAAATTACCACATAGGGTTGTTCATAGGAATAAGCATAAAGCACATAGCACTGTGCCTCCCAAATGATAGGTGCTTGGAAAAATGGTAACTCCTATTATTATTATTATTATTGATGGTGTTATTGTTGTTAAAAACATGGATTCACCCTTTTCCTCAACTTTGAATTCTTCCTAGTCAAATGACAACTTTCTTCTTGCCACTTACCGGTGCCAGGCAAATACCACAAGGCTGGAACTCAAGGTAAAAATGTTTGAAGTTGCCTTTCCTTGAAAGTATAAGCTTTCTTTTTCCTTTGGTAAATTTTGCAACACATATGATCTCATTTTTCTGCATTATATTTCCTGAAATGAAGCATATTGGAATAATTTCTTTTGAGTGACCATTGAACTAGGTTTTAATTCAGACCAAACCACGATCTCTGCTGTTAGCACTCAACCAATCACCTGCTCTAAAGTTACCAATTCTAAATTTTCTCTAACTGGAAATCTTTTTTCTAATTTTCTTTTATGGAAAATTTCAAACATATGTAAGAGTAATGACATCAGCTTCAGCAGTGATCAACTCATGACAATCTTGTTTATACTGTCACTCTCCATTCCAAATTATTTTGAAGCAAATACAAGATATTTTATAATTTTACTTGTAAATATTTGATACATATGTCTAAAAGATAAGAACTCTTTTAAAAATATAACCTTAATACTATTATTACACCTAAGAAAAAGTAACAATAATTCCTTAATATTGTCAAATATTTAGTGTTCAGATTTCACTGATTTTTTTTTAGTTTGATCCAATCATGATTCAAATAAGGTAATTTCGTTATTGAAGTCTCTGAGCATTTGCCCTATATTTTTCTATTATCTGAATTTTTCTGGTTGATTTCCAGTGATGTCATTAACATCTATTCCAGTGAAAAAATCTCTGGTTTTCTTTTGCAATTTACAATTTTTATAAAAATTCACTTTTATAATTAAATATTGATTGTTGCACACATACCTATTTTGTACTGTGAGGTTTTTTAAAAATTTATTTTTGATATACTTATGATCCAAAAATTAAAGACTAGAACTTTTTTCCTGGTATTGCTGATGTTCTAAGATTCCAAGTACGTTTTTTTCAAGAGAGATGCTGTTACACAACAATATTTTCACATCAGGTTTAGGAAGTTCCAGTTAAAGTGTAATTTTTTTTCTGAACAACTTCCTATAGTCTGCATAAGTCACCTTTCATATATTTTGAAAGAAAGATGGAAAACTGGGACACATTCATTTTTAAAGGAATATACTCAGTGTATTTATGTATTTTATGTAAATTAATTAATCATTTTAAATTACATTTTCACTGAGCAAGATTGTGCCAATCAATTAGGAAGTAGGCCTAAAAATATCAAAAAGGTATGCTCTTTTTTAAATTGGATACAATAATTTGAAGTTCAGAGTAAAGAATAAATGCCTGAAAAGAACCAACAAAACTATGAAAAAGAAGAAAAGGTGGAACTTAATAAAGTCTAAAAATGGAGCCCAACACATATTTATGGAAATTTAATGCATGGCATTTGTATGTAGGAAAATTCTATTAAATCACTATTTTTATTTAAAAATTGACATTGGCACAATTGACATTTGTCTGGAAGAAAATCAAGTAGATTCTTATGTCATATATTATAAAAAATAAATTCAGATGAATTAAGTACCTAGTTATTTTTAAAAGGAAGGAAATTTAGTTGTCTTTTAGATAATGGGTGACTATCAAAATATAAAGACTGCCTATAAGTTGCTAAGAAAGAGTACCCAATTAGGAAAATAGGTGAGGAATATGGATAGGCAATTCACAGAAGAGTGATTCAAAGTAGCAAGCTAACAAATATTAAAAGATGTTCTCCCTCATTATCCATTAGCAAACTCAGAATAACAAAAATCAGTTTCTGCTTGTCTAGCAGATTGGCAAAATTTTTTAAAGAGCAGTATCACCAGGTGACAGGATAAGGGAAAGGACACTCTCAATCATAGCTGAAGGAAATAAAATTTGTTATGGCCACTTTGGAAAAGCAATAAGATCATAGCCCCATTTGGAGGAATCGATTTCATAGCAATAAAATGATAGTATTGTATACATGATGTATGCATATAATTAACTGAAACATTACTTGTTGAGGCAGAAAAGTGGAACCAAAGTGAACACTCAGTAATTGAATGCTTGAATAAAAAGCTGTTTATCCATTCCATGGAATACTACACAGCTACGATGAAGAATGAGTTGATCTATTCCTATTAACATGGAGCAAATTCCATGAATAACACAAAATGCAGATAAAAATTTCTATATATGTATATATATTTTTTATCTATAATGATATAAATATGAAGAAAGATACGAAAAGAAACATACCTGTCTGGTGTGATAGGTCATACAATAGAGGGAAGGTATGGGTGAGATGGGAGTGGGAGGGAAGTGATAGGAGAGACAGACATAAGGGGGAAAATGTGATTATTAGAAATTAAAGATGTTTATGATATAAATAGAATTTATCCATGTGAAATTATATATTTGTTTTTGTATACCTGCATAGAGCAATGTATGAAAGGTTAACTACAAAATAACAATAATGATCATCTCTGGGTGGTAGGATATCAGGTAACTTGTATGTTTACCCTAATTTTTCTTTATTGTTTAGAGTTTTAAAATACTGATTATGAATTATACAACAAGAAAGCATTATGACTTTTTATTGTGGAAAAAAATTATGTGTAAGCTTACCCCTTAAAAGAAAATTCTAAATATAGCTTTCCCAGATCCATTTTTAATTTTCTATCTGTTGTTTTTTTCCTTTAATCTTTTCTCTCTTCCCATTCAGAGAGATATTTTCAGTGTAACATTTGCAAAAAAAATCTTGCTTTAAATTATTATTTATGTTTCCCATTTAGGTAAAACATTAACTTTTTTTCCACCTCACCTGCTAGGAAAAGTATGAGTTGATAGATTAATTAGATTAGAGAAGCTGCCTTTGTAATACAAGAGGTACTAAGTCCATCTCATGAATTGGAACACAGAGGAGCTAGAAGAGGGGTGGGAGGGAGAAGCTGAACCAACCACTCTCTAACTCCTCTAAAATTAGGTCTTCAAAGTTTCATGAATTAGAGTTTTCTGTGTTGTAAATACTCAGGATATCCAACTAGCCATATTCAAAATAGCTCAAAAGAATTTCCTAATTCAAATATGTCATAATTAGATTATGAGTGTGCTTCTCTATTTTCATAGAAAGTAAAGAATTAAGGTCTTGGAAACATGTTTTCCTGTCAATAGATTTTTGTAACAGCCATATCCTATAATACCCCCATTTCTGAGAAAATGAAGTATGAGTTATTGATTCAGCTCTTCTACAAACATGTCTAAATTTTAACCATTTGTATGTGACTCTTATATAGTATATTCTACACCTATGTTTTTATATGTAATAAAGTGATATGTGGGAATGTCTGTCTTTTGGAATGACATAGCATTGCAAAGTGTAGACAAATTGCCTAAAATATGTAGTGGGGATAACTTTTACAGATGGATTAATTTTGCTTTTGATTGCCAACATCTTTAAAATTTTTCTTTTATTATATGGTAAAAAGTACTTGTTTAATAGAATGTCATTTTTTTCCTTCCAAGTATTACAGAAGAGATTAAGGGTTAAGTACCTGTGTTAAGAATTTTAAAGATAGCATTTATGTTACTGGATTATTCTTATTTTCTTTCCTCTGGTGTTGAATCAGATTCGCTCAATTGAAGGCCAGTATGGAACACTTCAAGCATATGTGACTCCAAGAATTCAACCCAAAACATGTCAGGTCCGCCAGTACCTTATCAAACCCCTTTCACTCCATCAAAGAACTCACTCTATTGACCATGACAGGTAGGACAAAGGAGGGAGAAGTTTATTTTCAGAATATTACATGATGCAGATAACCTTGCTTTTTATATTAATAGTGTAAATTCTGGTAACTCTTGGTACTTTAAAAAAATTAAATATTCAAATGATGCTATGTACAGGTTTCCCTGCTACCCAAAAGTAGAGTGTTCCTGTGAAACTTTTTTTGGTAAGCTAAATTGGCATGTATCAAAGAAGCAGTTACTTAGGACATGTCTGGCTGCTTCAAATAAAGCACAGATACTGACAGACACAGGTCAAAATTGTGGGGGCCTGATGCTGAGATGCTGAGTGTAGTTCCTTGAGAAGTTTTGTGAGGCCCCTCTCACCACTCAGGGTGTGCCACTTCTACAGAACAAATGCTGCAGAACAAATGCTGACACTATTTTTGATTTTCTTTTTTTTTTTTTTTTGTAAAAGCAAAAATCCTCTTTGGATTTCTTTTGGTTAGGGAAAATGGATACTAATATAGGCCCTTCATAAAAGCAAAGTGGTATAAAGTGAACTTTCAAAAAGCAGGGGATTATATATACCTGTATTAATATTTCTAATAGATATAAAATTCTTTGTCATCTTTTAGAGGCTGGTTTGAGTTGAACTTTCCTATCTTTCTCATATATTCCCATTCTGAGATCAGTAGAGTAACAGTTCTCTGTCTCAAACACCTATCGTGAGTAAATACTGTTTAGCATTTGAGTTCTTTGTGAACAGGACCTTATTGTTCTGTTTCACCTCAGGGAATTAATTATAGAGCAACTGGTTGTGATAATCCCTGTTATTTATGACTTCCATTCCAGCTTAAGCATCCTCCTAGCTATAGCTTTTCGCTTTCTTTCCTGCAAAGGAGAGACCATGGGCTTAAATGAAGGAGAAGGGAAAGAAATGAGCAATTATGGAATACTGTTCCTGTGCCATGTGTTGTGCTAGTTGCTTGGGCATCATCGTTTAATTCTTACAGCAAGACACATAGTAATGTGTCCATTTTACAGACGAGAAATGGAGGTTTAGAAAAGTAAATAACTTGTTGATATGAGAAACAGAGCTAAGATTTGAGGCCGAAGCCTATGTTTTTTGTATTACAGCTTGTAATTTTAAATATATGTAATTTAAATAAGACATAAGGAGAAATGTTCTGAAGGAAGATTTTCAGAAAACATTAAAGAGAATAGATTCTTTTGGTGGTGTCTTCCTCCTTAAAAGTCAGAGTTGTTAATGGAAGTAGAGTGGTGTGCCAGAAGGAAAAGCAAATGGAGAATCAGGAGACTTGGGTTATAATCTTATATCTGTTCCTGCGTGACTTTGGGGAAATAATTTAATCTCTCTGGGCTTTAGTTTTCTCATCTGCAAATGAGAGAGTTGGTGTGGATGATCTCAAAAGTCAATTCTATTCTGTGTCCTCTTAAAATTCCTTCTGAATTCCATAAATTCACATTTTCTTAACTCTTTATAACTATCCATTTGATTTATTTTAAATCTGTTTCCTAACCCTTTGTGTGTATGTGTGATTTTGCAAGACAGAAAGTATTATTCCATATCCTGCAGGATAGAAGTTATTATTCCCTAATTTGCCCAATGGTACATAGCTACTAAATAATGGAGCAAGGTTTCACTTCCATGTCTATCTTATTTAAAAGCCTAATTCTTTGCCTTTACATTATGCTGATTCTTCCCTTAAGGAGATTCTTGTGTAAGTATGTTTTATAGTTTGTATAGTAGAAATACTAGATGAACTTTTAAAAAATGAAATCTGCCTGAGTGAACTGAATTGTATTTGGAAAGCATGTTATAATGAAAACAAGCTATTTATGTCACTTAACCAGAATATTAAAAGTGTAAGAATAGATAAGCATTCTTTTTTTTCATGAAATCAAAATATTTATCTGATGGGTAAGATTAACCTGAGAAAAATCAAATGGATGCTTTTATATTTGTAACTGCTGTTGCAGAATTCTGTTTGTTAATGTGTTGAGTACATATAATCCTTCCATGTATTCCCACACACAAATGTGTACTTCTGCTGTTAAATTGCAGACCCATGAATACACTGACTTTGACAGGCCAGTTCAGTTTTGCTGAACTTCACTCCTGGGTGGTGTTTTGCCTGCCCGAAGTTCCTGAAAAACCTCCAGCAGGAGAATGTGTGACATTTTACTTTCAGAACACCTTCCTGGATACACAACTTGAAAGCACCTACAGGTGAATAAAACTTATTACTTGTTCACAAATGTTTTTATACAAATGGAACTTCTAAATTTTCATATGTTTTGAGGCAAGAATAATTTTCAACTAATTTGATTGAAAAACTATACTGCTCAAGAGAATCTATTGAAAAACAAGTAGAATAAATGGGTTTAAAAAATAATAGAATAAAGATGAATATGACAGATTTTCTTTCCCATTCTCAACAATAACCAATTAGAAAATAAATTGTTTAAAAAGACCCTTTCACTGTAGCAATAACAATAACAAAATATCCATATAAAATCTGTAGGGATATTCTTTATTAGAAATATGTAGAACTTACATGAAGCGAACTATAAAAGACTTGATTAAATGGAGTAATATATTCTGTAGTGATCAATATGAAGACATTGTAAACATGGCAGTCCCTCCCAAATTGATTCAAACATTTATGCTAGTTCCAATTAGAATTCCTAATGAATTTCTTTATGCAAAAATAGGAAATGGCTCAGAACTTGAGAGCTTAGAACTGCAGACCTTTGAATCTACCATGTTACGAGGTGGAGGTCATTATTATTCTATACTCTTCTCAAGGTCCATGTTGCCCTCCTGCCCCCTTCACTGTCACTCCCTGCTCATCTGTCATAGGCTCCCCTAGTTTCTGTTTCTGAATACAGTAGCAGCTGAAATTTCTTTCTCCTTTGTTCTTTTTTTCTGAATGTGAAATGACCTACTTCTTGGGCAAGGTTGATTTCTCCAGTCTGTGTTGAGTTTGTACCCTCATACTTCTTCAAGTTCTTTACATTCTCATTCTCTGTATCTGTAGGTTTTGTTTGTTTGTTGATTTTTTTTTAGGTTTTGTTTTTTTTGTAAGGGAAGAGGGCTTCTTAGCCTCTCTCTGTCAAAGATTCTTTCCCTAAGTAGTTTATCGAGATAGTCTACTTCCTGCTTCCTAGCTGAGACTTCACCATGTTGAGTTCTGGAAACAGCAGTCACCATATTATTTTACCTCTGCATGCAGCCTTTGGGACCAAGAACTCTCCAGAAATCTAATTGGTTTTAGCATCAGTTCTGTGGCAGTGTTTCACTGTGCCTTCCAGGGGATCTTATCTGTGTCTAAACCTGCAGTCATGACTTCTGCTTTGAAGTACCACAGTGAACCTCACTGTTTAATCATGGCAGACAATTAGACAGGCCCCTGGCATATTGTGTATTTTTATAATAGCAAGCCTTTGCTTTTTGCCATTCTGTGTCCTTAAATATTCCTAACAGTTAAAACTCTACTTATATTTCAAAGCCCAACTCAGTAGCTACATTTTTGAAGACTTCCTTTCTTTTCTTTTCTTTTCCATAGCATTTTATTCTTACCTACCTTAGATATTGTTATTTGCTTGAAGTATATAATAATTTTTATGTAAGCTTATCTGTAAACTAGACTCTGCTTCTGGGTAGAGTTTATTTCTTAATTGTCTTTGTATTTAACCTCCAAATACGTAACATATGGCTTTGAACATAGTGGTATTCAGTGTTTTTTGGGTGCTTGAAAAAAATACATATATATGGAAGAAGTATGGAAGTGTGTGCTTTGGAGGCACACATACTTAGGTTTGAATCTTGGCTCTGTGACTCATCAGCTATTTGACCTTAGCTGGATTACTTAACTCTCTGAGTTTCATTTCTCTTTTCTGAGAAATGGAAATAATGCACTTACTTCATTGAATTGTGATAATTAAAGGAAGATAAAACATGTAGTGCCAGGTACTCTATGTGTTTAATGTTAAATATCAGTTAAAATTGAAGACTAGTGAAAAAAATCTCATTATCTCTAAAACATAATTGGGATCAAATAAGAAAAAAGAATTAGCATTTGCCTACAGCTAGTCAATATAAAACCAAATGAAAAGGCAACACTGAATATATGAAAGTTGGTATGTACTAATTAGGAAAATTTTGGTTATCATGAAAAGGAACCAAATGCAAGCACTCCTTACCAAGTCAAAAGAATTTATTGGCTCATATAGCTTGAAAGATTAGCAGTAATCTGCCTCAAGCATAACTGGATTAGTGGTTTAACTGATGTCATCAAGACTTTATCCCTTTCCATTGCCCAGCTCTGTTTTTGTCTTTTCTTGGCTTTCTTATGTAGTGCCATGGGGCCCACCAGCAGCTGCATCCAGCTTTACATCTTTTCAGCCACCATAGAGCGTCTCTTTCCCACTAGTGCTATTAAAAGTCCCAGGATTGAGTATCATTGTTGAGTTGTGAACCACTGTAGTCAGGGGTATGGAATATGCTGCTAAAATCTTCCTCCTAAAGTCCCAGAAATGGGGTTGAGGCCAGTGCCAATGAAACTTTATGGTTTGAGAAGGGTGAGAGAGAAAGAGAAGGAGGCATTCCCTAAAGAAAAAGAAGGGTCCTGTGAGATAAGAAGTGGCATTGGATCCTGGGCATGGAGGAACAGATGTTACTCTTAGGTTTGATATCAGCTTAAGTGTCAAGTCATGCTGTAATTATGTGATTACATCAAAGAAAAACATACTTACGTGTAAATAAGCCATTCTAAATGCATTTTATATACATAAGTTATTGAAAATTTTTTTTAGTGAAAATGAAGGAAAATGTTTTAAATGAAGGACTTATATAAATTGTATCTTTAGGGGTCATATATCTAACATTTTATTTAGTTTTACAAGTATGTTCAGAACTTAAATTAATATAACAGTAAAAGCTTACATGTTTAAATACATTTTTTATTAATAATGAGATATGTCTATAAAGAAATCTAAAATCAACTGAAATCTAAACACTAGTACTAGTTACAAAATATGTATTAGTTGGACATATTTATTGGATGTATTTCCTTCTAAAGCTGTTCTTTTAAAAAATATTAATTTTATAGAAAAGGCGAAGGAGTTTTTAAATCTGACAACATTTCTACTATATCCATCCTAAAAGATGTGCTCTCTAAAGAAGCTACAAAAAGGAAAATTAACCTCAACATATCTTACGGTAAAAAAAAACCCAACCAAACAAAAATGAATCTTTTTTTTCTGGGTTTTTTTTGTTTGCTTGTTTTGTTTCGTTTTGTTGTTTTTGTTACAATAAGAATGTTTCTAATCATAGTGACTTATCTAATTCTGCCTGGCTCAACTTTTTCCAGAGATAAATGAAGTATCAGTCAAACACACATTAAAGCTAATCCACCCAAAGCTGGAGTACCAGTTGCTTTTGGCTAAGAAAGTGCAGTTAATTGATGCTTTAAAAGTAAGTATGTATGTTATGGACTCATGATCATTATTTTGTTGTGATGGGATTTCTAAAGTTGTAAAGATTTTAAAGTCTTTACCACTTTAAATCCACTTTATACTGGATTGAATTTTGAACCTTAAGGTACTTCTGTTTTTAAATAAGGAATTGCAGGTTCATGAGGGAAACACAGACTTTCTGATACCAGAATATCGCTGTATTCTAGAAGAGGCAGATCACCTACAGGAAGAATACAAAAAGCAACCTGCACATCTTGAAAGACTCTATGGTTAGTGGACTATTCTAGAATACCTTGTCATATTTCTTTTCTGCTGGCTATTTATTCAGGGTCACGTGAGAGAAGCTGGGCAGAAGGAAACAGGCAAAGATTACAGCATCATCAACCAGTAACCAATTTTTTGCACAATATAAATTCATTTTGTTGAGTTAATTTTGATGTTTAATATTTTTACTTGGTAAAATGCAAGTAAATGTTAAGAAATGGAGTAAGTGTACTGCAATGAATTAATCTATATATTTATATATATATATGAAGAAACCTGGTGTGAAATGAATATAACTTATGAAGTATTACAATTTAGGCTATATTTCACACAAATAATTTTGAGGTGTTGTTGCTGTTTTGAATAACAAAATGCAGCATTTAACATTTTTTAGATGAAATTTAATAAGGGCTGTATACATGCAATGTCAATTTACAGTTCAAAACATTTTGCTTTGGTGGTGATAAGACGGGAGTTTCACAAACTGTACTGAAAAAGCAAGAGGGAGACGGGGGAGGCAGAGAAGGAGGGAGGAAGGAGCAGCTTAAGAAAAACATTTTTTTTGAAATCTTTACATGAGACCTATTGTGTATAGCATACCCATTTATTTATAACATCTTTTTAATCAGGTGAGATATTTAAACTTAATAACATCTCTGCAAGTAGATGGTGTTATCTCTGTTTTTCACATTTTTTAACTGAAATCTGAGACTAAAGAATTTGTTGTCACATAGGTAGTTAGTGGCAGGGCCTTCACTGAAACCTCCTTGCCCCAAAATGCATGCTTTTTGCACTACGCCAAGTCTTCTAGAAAGTCAGTTGGTATCATCAGTCCATATTGATCCTTAAGCCTATCTAATGAATATATTTTATACTCAGAGACTTGCTCATAAACTATAACAATAATATCTACTATCTTAATATTTACTGTATGGCAAGCACATGATCTTTTATCCTCACAGCAATTTAGAAAATGGGTGGTAGAGAATCTCCATCTCTTGTCACTAATTCCAAAGCCCAGGAAGCTTTGAAATTAAAAACTTTTTTCGTAAATCATTTGGCAGTAAATCTGACTTGATCTGAATTAATTTAATAACAAAATCTCACTTAAACTGATACGAAGTTATTTATAGTTTTTTAATTCCACTTAGCATGAATATTCATATATTTTATTGCAGAAATGTTATCAGATGCTGCCACTCACTTTCCACAAATATTATGCCATATATATGGTATATTATGGTATATTCTTTTTATTATCTTTCTAAAATATGAAAAATTTTGAAACACATCTTGCATCAAGGGTTTTGGATAAAGGATTGAATTATTCCCACTATACATATGTGAAAACTCAAAAGTGAAATAATTTGCCCAGATCTTTGACTCTAGAAATATTTTCTTTTAAGCCAAACCCTAAGAATGGTCAACATATAGATGGGATATTTTC